TCACTTACCACCTGCCTTTTCCTGATCAGAGTACATCAGAATACACACGTTAGCCATACGCTTGCACTCAGCCTCAAAAAAGAACCTCACACCTCCAGTGTTGCCTGTGAAGTTTGATGACTTGGGACCTCACAATACAGGATTAAGCCGACCAGAGATCCTCAATTATAGCACTTTGGTAGCCTTTTCAAAATAATCTTAAAACAATGTAAAGGTAAGCATGTGGCATTTTATATTGTAACCAACAAAGAGTAACAGTAAGACAGATAAGTGTAACCACTGTAACTTCTTGACCAACTTTATTCTTGAAATGATACATCTGCCCCTAACAGCTACCATACGCCCGGTCCAATTCTACAGGGTATTTTCCAGTGAGACAAGCCTGTAAACTCGTTTTTTCTGTATATTTTTAAGTTGTCCAGCTCGTTTCTTTCTAATTTTTTTTTTAGTAGAGACGGGGTCTCCGCTCTTGCTCAGGCTGGCCTCCGACCTCCTGACCTCTAGAGATCCTCCCCGCCCGGCCCTCCCAGAGTGCTGGGACGACAGGCGTGAACCTCTGTGTCCGGGCTAATTATTTCTATACTTTTTAGTTCCCAATTAATTTCTTTCTAATTTTTTTAGTAAGAGACGGGGTCTCGCTCTTGCCCAGGCTGGTTTAGATCCTGCCTCGACGATCCTCCCTCTCGGCCTCCCAGAGTTCTGGGGATGACAGGCGTGCGCCCTCTGCGCCACCGTAATTTTAATATCTATAATTTGAGTTGGGGTCCAGCTAATTTCCCCCCCCCCCCCCCCTTTGTTTTTTTAGTAGAGACGGGGTCTTCGCTCTTGCTCAGGCTGGCCTCCAACTCCTGACTCGGAGCGAGCCTCCTGCTCAGCTCATCCGAGTAGCTGGGAATAACGGCATGCGCCACACGCCCGGCCCATTCTTTTTTATTTTTCCTGTGTATTTTTAGTTGGCCAATTAATTTTCTTGTATTTTTTTTTTTTTTTTTTTTTTAGTAGAGACGGGGTCTCGCTCTTGCTCAGGCTGGCCTCCGATTCCTGGCCTCCAGCGATCCTCCTGCCTCGGCCTCCCAGAGTGCTGAGATGACAGGCGTTGAGCCGCCGCGCCCGGTGTGAATTCTGCTTTCAAAGTAGCAGAGCTTTCTAAATCATCCTGAAAAGCTCTGCGTGAATTGTATCGTGTTTCAATTATTTTACCAAAACGCCAGGAGATTTTGTTTGTTTGGGTTTTTTTCTTACTATTCTTATTATTTTTTTTTTTATTATTTTTTTTCCTATTATTTTTTAAATACTTTCTTTTTTTTTCTTATTCTCTTTTTTTTTTAGGACTGCATTTGCATTGTATGTTTTTGTTTTTGTAGACAAGCTCTTGCTCTTTTGCTCAGGTATTGCAACCTGAAACTCCCGGCCTCCAGCCATCCTCCTGCCTCGGCCTCCGCTCCCGAGTAGCTTGGGACGACAGGAACATGCGCCTCACGCCCGGCTCGTTTTTTTTTATATATTTTTTTTTTACTTGTGCAAGCTCATTTCTTTCTATTTTTTTTTTTTTTTTTTTAGTGGAGATCTCTTGCTCAGCCTGGTCCCTTGAACTCCTGAGCTCAAACAGGTGCTACGATCACAGGCGTGAGCGTCACGCCCTGGACCTGAGATTTTAATTCCAATTAAATCTCCTTAGTTCTTAAAGTGGCAATAATAAACCAATGCCTTTCCACCTGCCATTGTTTTTTTGTTTTTTTTTTTTTGTAGATGAAAACTTGAGCTGGCCTCTCAATCCTGCACTCTGGGAGGCGAGGCCACCGGGGCCCCCCAGTTGTGAGTCTCGGGGTCCCCCCTGGCTGTGACCCTGGTGGGGGTCTGGGGGAGGCCTCCAATTGGGGGCTTGTCACCCCCTGGAGGGTCGTCCCTGCTTCCCTGCAGCCCCGTTTCCATGGAAACCCCCCCCAAATCGGCATGGGGCCCCCAAATCCCGCGCAGGACCCGCAGCTGAGTCTCGGGGTCCCCCCAGTCTGTGACCCTAGTGGGGGGTTAGGGGAGGCCTCGAATTGGGGGCTGTCACCCCCTGGGGGGTCGTCCCCGCTTCCCTGCAGCCCTGTTTCCATGGAAACCCCCCAAAATCGGCAGGGGGCGCCCCCAAATCCCGCGCGGGCCCCACACCTGAGTCTCGGGGACCCCCCAGTCTGTGACCCTAGTGGGGGACTGGGGGTGGCCTCCAATTGGGGGCTTGTCACCCCCTGGGGGGTCATCCCTGCTTCCCTACAGCCCTGTTTCCATGGAAACCTCCCCAAAATCTGCAGGGGGCACCCCCAAATCCCGCGCGGGCCCCGCAGCTGAGTCTCGGGGTTCCCCCCAGTTATGACCCTAGTGGGGGGCTGGGGGTGGCCTCGATTTGGGGGTTTGTCACCCCCTGGGGGGTCGTCCCCGCTTCCCTACAGCCCTGTTTCCATGGAAACCTCCCCAAAATCGGCAGGGGACGCCCCCAAATCCCCAGCGGGCCCCGCAGCTAAGTCTCGGGGTCCCCCCCTGTTGTGACCCTAGTGGGGGGCTGGGGGTGGCCTTGAATTGGGGGTTTGTCACCCCTGGGGGGTCGTCCCTGCCTCCCCACAGCCCCGTTTCCATGGAAACCCCCCAAAATCGGCAGGGGGCGCCCCCAAATCCCGCTCGGGCCGCGCACCTGAGTCTCGGGGTCCCCCCAGTCTGTGACCCTAGTGGGGGGCTGGGGGTGGCCTCGAATTGGGGATTTGTCACCCCTGGGGGATCGTCCCGGCTTCCCCGCAGCCCCGTTTCCATGGAAACCCCCCAAAATCGACAGAGGGCGCCCCCAAATCCCGCTCGGGCGCCGCACCTGAGTCTCGGGGTCCCCCCAGGTCTATGACCCTAGTGGGGGCTGGGGGTGGCCTCGAATTGGGGGCTTGTCACCCCCTGGGGGGTCGTCCCTGCTTCCCTACAGCCCTGTTTCCATGGAAACCTCCCCAAAATCTGCAGGGGGCGCCCCCAAATCCCGCGCGGGCCGCGCACTTCAGTCTCGGGGTCCCCCCCTGTTGTAACCCTAGTGGGGGGTTAGGGGTGGCCTCGAATTGGGGGCTTGTCACCCCCTGGGGGGTCGTCCCTGCCTCCCTGCAGCTTGGTTTCCATGGAAACCCCCCAAAAATCACGTGGGGCGCCCCCAAATCCCGCGCGGGTCCCGCACCTGAGTCTCGGGGTCCCCCCAGTTATGACCCTAGTGGGGGGCTGGGGGTGGCCTCCAATTGGGGGTTTGTCACCCCTGGGGGGTCGTCCCCGCTTCCCCGCAGCCCCGTTTCCATGGAAACCCCCCAAAATCGCCGGGGGCGCCCCCTCTCCCCCCCCAAATCCCGCGCGGGCCGCGCACCTCTCGCGCGTTCTCCTGCCCGACGAGCCCCGAGGCCGCCTGCTTGGCCAGGCCGCTCTCGTCCAGCCCCAGCCCCTTCACGTGGCTGTGCGAGGCGACGCGCTGCGTCTTGGTCGTGCTCTTCACCTCCTCGATCTTCATCTTGCCGCCGCCGCCGTTGCCGCCGCTGTGCCCACGCGGCCGTTACCAGGGAGATTTTCCCGGAAATCCCGCCCCCCTCGGCGTGCCATTGGCGGAGGCGGCGGCGCCTCCGCTTTCGATTGGCTGCGAGGCACGCCCGTCGGGGATGCCGGTGGAGCTCCGCCCATGCACTTCCGGCTTCTGTGTTTCCCGCGTCCGCTTTCCCTTCCGCCGCCGACGCTGTGGACGCCGCCGGTGGCCAGCGCTTCCGGCGGTGGCTAGGGGCCATTTCCGGGGTTTCATGTGGGGCTCGGGTGATACACCGTGGTATCGTGACTTTGGTTCCGGGATTTAGTCGTGCCATATTATTGGGTTTTTTCTATTATTTTTTTTTTAATTATTTTTCTTTTCCTTTTTTCTTTTTTTTCTTATTTTCTTTTTACGCTAGACAGGTGAAGGAATTTCTCT